AGGGAGGAGGGAGGGAGGTGTCGGTGATGGACCATAATAATCATATACAGTGTATATTGACAAAATAAAAATAAAAAAAAATAAAAAAATAAAAGGACAAAAAAAATTTTTAAAAAGTGTAAAATCCCCACTGAATTAAGTGCCATTGTTCATGGCCACCAGGCAGTGCTCACTGAGGTTGAAAAGAAAGACACTTGCAGATCTGGCTTATCTTCCATATAATACTTTTAGTTTCTGGTATGAATGTAATTATGGGGAACCCCATGTCCTGGGTCTTTATGGATGTAGTCGTTCACAAGCACTTTCTTCTCAATCAGATAGGTCTGGGTTTGAATTCTGCACCTGCCACTATTACCTTGAGATGGAACCTGTAAAACAAGAGTGATTATTTCTTTTTTTAAAAAAGATGACAGGTAAGGGGATCTTAACCCTTGACTTGGTATTGTCAGCACTACCCTCTCCCAAGTGAGTCATGGGCCGGCCCTTAAGAGTGATCATTTCTACCTCACTAAGTTTTTGTGGAGATTAAATGAGATATGTGTAAAGAACACAGCATAGCACTTGGCATTTCATTAAAGGGTAGCTATTTTATTTTATTCATTCTGTCACACTATTCTCCCCAAATTATGAAGATACACCAGAAATTCATGTGTCTTCAACCAAATTGCATCTTCCAAAACTGCTTTGACTCTTAGAAGCAGATCAAAATCCTTTGTCAGGGCCGGCCCGGTGGCGCACTGCTACAGTGCGCCACTTGCGAGTGCGGTGGCGCTCCCGCCGAGGGTTCGGATCCCATATACAGACTGGTTCCCGCTCACTGGCTGAGCGAGGGGCGGGCGCAACACCGAGGGTTGCGATCCCGTTGCCGGTCCCGGTCCGGTACGGGCGCGACACTGAGGGTTGCGATCCCGTTGCCGGTCCTGGTCCGGTACGGGCGCGACACTGAGGGTTGCGATCCGTTGCCGGACACGAAAAAAGACAAAAAGGAAAAAAAAAATCCTTTGTCAGACCATATATCCTGGTTTTTAGGTCAGAACACATAGCCACTGGAGCTGAAGAGTATCTCTGTGCCTTCTGATATAACCCAAAGAGCAAAACAACTTAAGACATTTAAAGTTAGGACCTCAAAAAGTAAACATCACATGTTCCCAAGGAAAAAAAAATACATTCAAAAGGAGTTTTTCAATCTGGGCTAGCTTCTAATCAATGCCCTATATGCACATTGTCTGGCAACTCAGGGCCGTCCAACAGCTAGTCTTCCCACAGGGGCCAGCAGCTCAGCCTGGCAGGGATTAGGTTGCTCTTCTCTAGACAATATACCCCTGGAACAGGTTCAGCCCAAGCCATGGTCAAGGAAGAAATATACCTGCCCTGAGACTAGAAAGAGAGAGGAAGCACCAAGCTCAGGGCTTTAGTTATATCTGTGGGTCTCAACCTTATCAGAACAATGATTATTATATTATTAAAGTGTGGTGGACAGAATAATGGCCCCCTAAAGACACTCAGGTCCTAACCCCTAGAATTGTGAATATGTTACCCTATACAGCAAAAGGGACTTCACAAATGTGATTAAGTTAAGAATCTTGAGATAGGGTGATTATCCTGGCTTATCTGAGTGGGACCAAAGTAACCATGAGGATCTTTATAAGAGTAAGGCAGGAGGGTCAGAGTCAGAGAAAGAGACTGACAATGGAAGCAAGAGAGTCAAAACCAGACAGATATTTGAAGGTCCTATGCTGCTGACTTTGCAAATGGAGGAAGGGGCTATGAGCCAAGAAATGCAGGCAACCTCTAGAAACTGGAAAAGGGAAGGGAACAGATTCTCACCCTAGAGCCTCCAGAGAAAGCACAGCCCTTGATTTCAGTCTGGTGAACCCCATTTCTGACTTCTGGCCTCCAGGATTTTAAGATATTAAATTTATGTCACTTTAAGTCACAAAGTTTGTCCTAATTTATTACAGCAGCAATAGGAAACTAACACATAGAGTATTATACTTAGTCTCTCATTATAGGAAATATTTTATAACATCCCTTTTGCTACTTTGAAATGAAATTTATACATAATATAGTTTACTAATTCTTGTACCTAAAAAACATAAATTACTAGCCTAACCTTACAAGGGAGACAGAAAATGAAAGCTAACTTATAATAAATTAATATATATTAATTGTAAATTAAGTATGTAAATGTGCTCACTATGCATGTGCTTGGGTACAACTACAGTAGAAGACATAAAAATGTGGTCAGATGTTTGCACGTCTAAGTGAAATCACTGTGACAGTGAGAGCTAAAAATGCAGATTGATTTTGGGGACACAAATACCACCCAGGGCATTGTTGTCTGTCACATGATTTTCTGAAATGGTGAACAACTCTTAATGGAGTTCTGAACAAAAGGAAGTATAATGTTCCTTCGGTTAACAAGTTGTATTCCTGGAAAATTCAGTGTATATCAAAACTTTACAAAAACAACTCCATAATTACATACAAAACAGAGTTCTAGACTCAGGTAATTATGAACATGTTTTTCACCTACCTGAAATGCACATCTAGATATCT